ATATATATATATATATATATATATATATATATATATATATATATATATATATATATATTCAAAGCAGTCTGCTTCTCAGATAATTGATGTTAACTTATTATTTTTATTTGTGAATGTTTCTGTTCAGTGCCCTGAGATGACTTCTGTTGTGACTTGGCGCTAAATAAATTAACCGAATTGAACCTGCATGTAATTATGAAAACAAAAAAAATTTACAGGTTCCTTCCTACCTTGGTGCCACATTTTCTACACTTCAAAACTTTTATCCCCCTTTCCTTCACAATCCACTTGGAATAACATCCATCTCCCTTCATTGTTTTCCTTTCCACTGTTCCTTCCCCATCACTGCTTTGACCAATTTTACTTTCCAGAAAACTTGGTTTCTTTCTCTTTAACACCATTTTCACAAACGTTCAAGGTTTTCTCTATAACACTATCAGCTCCTTGGACTGATGAAGTCTTTTGGATGAAAGACGAAACATTTCAACAAAAAAGAAACCGCCCAGAGGACCTGACTTAACTTTGTTGGATGTAATCTTTAACGTTTATTCAATTCCTCCAAATTACCATCTAAAAGTTTGAAGGTGCTATTAAATAAGTGAAGAGAGCTAAACAGGCTGTTGGGCTATAGCAGGTAGTTAATAATGCAACGGTAATAACGATGCACATGCAGAAGAGTAAACTTTACCAAGGTCCATATCTGATGCCTTTGGTCTTTGTGAATAGGGGCTGCCTTTATACACGGCATCAAGAAGCTTCTCTTTAACCTGAGTGATGGTGTCGCAGTTCAGACACTTGACTGTCACCTCGGGGGCATTTTCATTCTCTGGGTTTACACAGTGCAGCGTCTGGGAGGAAAACACAAAGAAGAAAAGAGGAAATGGGAACAGACAAAAGGAATTAGGCAAAAGCAATAAAACAGCATGAAAGTACCCAACTAGTAAGAAGGTGGAATCATTGTTTAGATGCATTTGAATGCACCTGACAGCTTTTTCACATCTGTATTATATACAGCTATTATAAAACCTGGTTATTTTGTGAGTGCGTTTAGGTACATAATAACCCAGCATTCACACTTGGGTGCAGATCAAAACAACTAAAGTAGATTCTTCTGAGTGCCAGCATGTTTTCTATCCAAGCCTCAAGTGCTTTGTTTGGAAATACAACATAGTTAACACCGGGCAGCAGATGAGTCTCTTCTCAGCCAGGTCACATCCCCACTCCAAACAAAACTAATGCTCGAGTGCTATATTTACCCAGAAGTCTCTGCTGCCCACCAGACTCCAGACTAATCAAGGAAACAGCCTTCAACTAGCAAACAGCTGGTTAGACTTTAGGATCTTCTTCAGCAATAAATCTAACTAAAGCTTTAAAACTAATCAAGTGATTGAGAGCAAAGCACCAAACAAGCCACGAGACACAGGAAGTTTACTGACCAATGTTTTGTAGTCAATCTGTTGCCTGATGAGCTTGTCCTCGCTGAGAGAGTAGCGAGCTTCTCCTGTGATGGCGTCAATGGGTCCCTTCTCCATCTGCTGCTTGATGGCACAGTACAGCATGAACAGAGGCTCTCCAGCACACTCCTGTGAGGGAGGAGGCAGACGTATAGAATTAGAATCATTCAAACAGTTAAGATGTTCCTTTTGGATCCTTCTAATTGAAATATTTTAGAATTTAAAAAAGCAGCAATTTATAGTAAAGGAATACCATAAATCGTGGAAAAGGGTATGATGTGTTTGAATGTAACATTTGTTGAATTTTTAGGATATTTATGTATTGAATTTATTATAAAAGCATCCATTAGTCACAAAGGTCAAAAGCTTCTGATAGGGCCTTGATGAGATTTTTGTTTATTTTTATAACAGTTTTAACAAAGTTTTTCTTGAAAGATGTTTAATGCTCTTTAAATTCAAATAGTGAAACTTCAACCCTTTTAGGCTGTCTTTAAACAGTACAGTATAAATGCTTTGAATCATTTCTAACCTCTGCATTTTGTTTTATATGGAGTCGAGTTCTTACGATCTTTTGAAATGGTCTTCGTTATTATTATAATAATCTATTTTTTGCTTTAGACTTTCGGTGACTTTTTTTGCAGTTTCAGTTTCAGTTGTTTTTTTCCCCATTTCTTGAGATACATCTGTGAACAAGGACACAGATACCAGTTTGATGGTACCGTAGCACCAGATATGTAATTATTAAAAAGCTTTAGAAGCAGAAAACTTAGCATGCAGTAGATAATCAACTGAGTAATAACATTTCCTGTTTGTGTGTAAGATTTTAGCTGTTAATCTGCGCCTTGGTCATTTTAAAATCCAGTTTTGTTCTATTGTACTGCACTTTTATCTATGTTTAAGCTTACCCAGCACAATGTGCCGTTATAGGCAGTCAGGGGAGCTGGACAAGGTGAAGAAGGCAGAAAAAAGTCCAAACAAAACTTTGAAAGAGTTTCAGAAAGCCTGAGAAGTATCGATCAACTCCCATTTAAAATGCTACAAGAAAGTCTGGCTGCTTGTAAGCCAAGTAGAAAGAAAGTAGGGATGGCTTTAAAGTACTGTACTTAGACTCTAAGATCACAAGATTTGCATCAAGGGTCACTAAATAATGTATAACAACAGACTGCTTAGATGTTTGCCGTGTATGTTGACAATCGTGTTTGGAGCAGCACAAGTAGAGTCTACTTCTGTCAAAGCAGTCGGATAGATTACATGAAAGAACAAAGTACAAGCAGCTTGTCTTTCTGGTCTGCCTCCTGATGATCAGACTACGGTATATATTTTTTTCTTTCAGCTGATCCCTTCTTCTGGGGTCGTCATAGCAACTACGTCACACAAAGACTTGGCGATTTTTTTATTTTTTTTTACGCTGGATGCCCTTCCTGACGCAACCACAGACCACTGAGCTACCACAGCCCTCTGTGTGGTGCAGAGAGCTGCTATCTAGGACACATGGAGGAGCAGACGGTTGGGGTCAAGGGCCTTGCTCAAGGGTCCAGAGTGGGGCAAATGAGGGTGGAGGCAGGTGTGGGTGCTTCACCATTCCAACCCACATTTTGATGTTGTAGGTAATGAGAGTTGAACGGCAATGTTCAATCACAGGTCCACCTTCACTAACCTCTGCGCCACCACTCCCCTTATATACAGTAGTCCCTCGTTTATCGCAGGGGATTCGTACCCTGAAGCCCTGCGATAAGTGAAAAACCTTGAAGAAGGAATAGTAGTATAAGTAGTAGTTTTAGTATATATATATATATATATATATATATATATATATATATATATGGCATTTTAAACACTTCCCACACATGCCATATTCTAAACAATGTGTCTAAACCCTAAACGCTTTAAAAGAGCACAGAATGTCATGATTTCAGCTCTCTGCATCCTGCTGCTCTCTTCCACCTACCATCACTCCTGGCCACACCCACTTCTCCGCTGTAGAGCGGAGATCAGCTGCAGGAGGGAGCTTCTCTGCAGCTGTGGGCTGCAAACAGGTGTTAAATCATTTAAAATAATTTGCTTTAAATAAAAAATCCATTCTGATCGTGTGGCTCCTCCATCAATCAGCCAATTGTGTATCATGTCCAAAATTACTTTGAAAAAACGTGACAGAGCGAGTCCATGAAAAACGAACCGCGAAGTAGCGAGGGACTACTATATATATATGTATATATATATATATATATATATATATATATATAT